AAGTAGATAGTTTATAGAAGTTGGGGAGTGGATAGGGATGAAAAGGATTCAAAAAACTAGCCGTTTGGTAGTTGAAACTGTCGACTTATTCGAATAACTCAAGAACTATTCGAATAGTTTGGATCAATCGCGTGGCTTGAAAAAACCAGTTCCTATTCGAATAAATGGTGATTTATTCGAATAAATCAGGTTGAAAAACTAGGACTTATTCGAATAAGTGGTGATTTATTCGAATAAATCAGGTTGATTTCAGCAACAGGAAAGATCACGACTTATTCGAATAAACTAAAGATTATTCGAATAGAAAGGCAACTTCCCCACACAAAGGCTGATCTAAAATGAGTTTTAAAGGTAAGATGATAACGGAATGAACCTTAGAGATGCCATACTCTTTAACACATAATCTAAGACCTAAAACACTACCCAACTAAGGAAACAACCTCTTCGGTCTCGTTCCTTCCACCGATGCTCAAGTCCCTTCTTCACGGACGGATATGAACTGGTTGTAGCTTTGATTCTTAGCCTTGATGCACAAAATGATGATGATATTTTGTCACTCTTTTGTCATTATCAAAACCTAAAAGACAATGGGCAAAGGACATTGCAAAAATATATATGCATGATAGCACATTGTCCAACATCGACATTATCCTTAGTATGCACTGACTGACTGAACGTCGTTGTTGTTGATAACTTGTGATGATAAATTCCTCAACTAAAGGCCAATGATGGTAACATCATAAGAGGTGAAAGCAAAGCTGATTTTTAAACCAACCGAGTTCATCTCGAATATATATGCAAACATGTCTCAACCATAAGAAGCGTGAAGTCTATTCGTGCGATACACGAAAGAAAGATCTGAACTAAAGGAACGTACCGAAAGTATGTCACCTCTCTGATATGAACTTCCTAATATTTCACCGTTCCGAGAAATGGAATTTCTCTACCAATCTTGATCCCAAAGAGGACCAATATTCGTAACTCTGCATTAAATATGTTTATGTCAAACTGAATACTCGACTATAAAGATTGACTTACAAAGAAACATTTCACCAAGTATTTCCTCCTTAAGAGAATACCCGTTCTATTTATACGTGAATCGATGAGATTCTGTAACAACTACTGTTAATTGAACTGGTGGTCCCAAGGTGGTGAAATACAAAGTCTAGAGGGGGGGGGTGAATAGACTTTGTTACAGATTTAAAATCTTTTTCGTTTCTTTTGAAAACGTGAAAATGAGTGTTAATCTAGAGTCCTTGTGAACTTTAGATTGTGTGCGGAATTTTGGTGGGTAGAGTGAGCAGTAATCAATATGGATAGGTTAGTTTTCACGGTTAATATAATTGCAAGTAAGAATAAAGATAAGAGAGAGAGACACGCAAACTTTAATGAGGTTCGAAGGTGGGGTAATCCTTCTACGTCCTCAAAATCCACTATGTAGTTGGTTGTTGAATAATGAACCAACAATTACACTTGTGTGAATTTCTGCACGGTATATCTTCACAAAACCAATGTTGCTACTGCACTCGTGCTGGCTTTGTTGTTCCTTCGAAGGTCAAGCTTCTTCAACAAATGCAAGGTCCGAACAATAGGACTTACAAGATCAACTTGTAAGAGAGTTGACCTACCCCCTTTTAATCAATAAGTTTGATCAAAAGTAATATCCTTCAACGTGGTGTGGTGCTTGAGGCAAGGAAACCTTCAAGTGTTTACACTATAGCTCTTTGGAAGGAGGAAAAGTTTGTTTCTGGATAAGGAGTTTAGAAATCTCTCTTTATCAAGCCTTTTTGTGCTAAGTGTGAATGAGATAGCTTTGTTGTGTTGTTGTATCTCGTTATCCTCTCTCTATTTTCTTCAGTCTTCCAAGGATGCTATTTATAGCTGGATTGGATAATCTATCCGTTGAATCACAATAGACTATCCGTTGCATTTGCTGGCTTCAATTTTGAATGAAGATTGTGATTTGAAGATTCCTCATTGGAATGGGTGTTTGGACATACCCATTTGTTAAAGGAGAGATTCCTTTTTCAATAGAGTCCGTCTTCTAGCTGCTGTTCAAGTATTCTGGACTGTGGAACTTTACTCTGTTTGTCTTTTAGTGCTTGTTTAGGAATTCTGGACAAGTTCTTCAATTTTTAGAGGTTCAGACTTTGTCTTTGAGTCATTTGTTCTTGAATCAGCATAATTATCTTCAATCTAGCCGTTGAAAATCAAGAGATTGATTTTTCCTTACCAAC